GGTAGTTATTAGAGACGCCCAGATAACCAAAATTTGGGACGTGAATCGCTCCGGCGACGAAAATAGCCAAGGGGGTGAGGGACTGCATTTCAAAAACATATTTTATATATAGGGTATATAACAACAAGATAGGGGATGCGATGATTTTGGCATGGCAAGGTCCTGGTAAATAATATACAGAGAAATAAAAGTGAAATAATTGACAAAATAAATTAAACATTAAATAGATACATGTACTAAGTTACTGCAGTTATTAGTCCCCGTTCGGACGCAGACCGAAAATGGGGACTTAATAATAATAATAATAACTTTATTGCATCCTTAGAAGTACAAATGTTCTATTGGTTTACATCAATAAATATATATGTGATTATATAATATTAAAGTATGATAACGTAAAAAAATAGAAAAAAAGTTATGTTTTGACCTCCGTGCTTCAGTGCATCCGTGTGTCTGGACCTGTATCTTAAAAATGCCTGGACCAATCACAATCAAACTTCACACATACATCACACATGATATTATACATATGCACGTCAATTAGTTTCACGATCTGATTATACATATGCACGTCAATTAGTTTCACGATCTGATTCAAGATGGCCGAATGGCGGCCATTTTTGTTCTAAAAATCATCAAAATCAAGCATTTCTCGGCTGTTTACAGATGGTTTGTTCAAACTTGGTATATATGTTGGACATTATAGGACCTTGATGCACATCATATTGTTTTCAGATAAGATTCAAAATGGCTGACTGGCGGCCATTTTGTTTCAATAAATGTGGTTCTAGTGCCATATCTTGCGGCTGTGACTGATTATGTTCAAATTTTAAATATTCATTATACATGTATTCAAAATGGCAGATTTTGTTTTAATTAATGCTGTTCCAGAGCAATATCTCTAAATACTCGTTTGACGATCAGATTTAAATGTTAAACAATCATCATAATCATATTCTTGACATGTTTATATTCCAGCTTATTACTATAAACGAAACTATATATCTTAAATTCAATAACTAATGGGGACTGTGCCATGCATGGCTTGTTTTTATAATATTATTAATGACTTTCCAAGTCCCTTTTATATTATTGGCATATTCACATATGTTTGTTAATCTTTATATTAGATCTTTTGATGACATTCTTCGGAAAAGGACATTTAGTTTTATGAGTAGACTGCACCTTCCATCTAACCCCATTGTAACAACAACATTGTACATTTCAATTCATTCCCAGAGTTTAATATGGAAATTATGGGAGAAGAGAATTTTTTGACTTGTATTTTTGACTCCCGTGTGCGAAGCACAAAAAGAGTCTTTGCAGTTAGTGTGTCTGTATGTGTGTGTGTGTGTGTGTGTATGTATGTGTGCGTGTGTGTGTGTGTAACTTGGTGCATATATGCTCTGGGCCAATGCGCAGATTTGATTAGATTTTGGTAAAATTACCTAATTTGCATGATAATTAGCTGTTCCATGACTGTTCCACTGATATCTAAAGAACCACTCATTGGATTTTGATGGACTTGGCACACAGATGCTCCAAACTAATGCGCAGATTTGATTAGTTTTGGGTAAAAATCTGCAATATTAATTACCTAATTTGCATAATGAGTAATCAATTTTCGGCTTTTCCACTGATATCTCAAGTACTAATCATCACATTTCAATAAAACTTGGTACATAGATGTCATAGGACACTGCACAGACCTGATAGTTTTTAGGATAATACGAGTACATATTAATTACCTAACTAGCATAATTAATTAATTTTCAGCTTTTGATATTTCAAGTAGTAATCACATTTCAATGAAATTGGGTACATAGATGTCATAGGACACTGCACAGACCTGATAGTTTTTAGGGTAATATGAGTACATATTAATTACCTAATTTGCATAATTAATTAATTTTCAGCTTTTGATATTTCAAGTAATAATCATCACATTTCAATGACACTTGGTACATAGATGTCATATGACACTGCAAAGACCTGATAGTTTTTAAGATATATGAGTACA